AATAAAACACATTAGCATCTCCTGTCACTGTAAACACAACTAATGCTGCTGCTGACGCATCAAATCTGCAACCTGCACTGCGCCATCCATTTTTCAGATTAGAGGCTGCAAACATTGCGTTTGTTTTTAATGTTAATGTTTTAGTTGTTGTCGTTTTTTTAAATCTCATTTAAAAAATGTATTCCAATGCCAAAACAACACAATATGCTTCTTAAGAAAAAGCATAATCTGATTGACATTGTGGCACAAACATGTGTTTTCTTTTTCCAGGTGTGTTGTTTTCTTTCCCTGCTGTTGGCCTCGGAGCTGTTAAGTCTTCTTGCCCAAACAGTGAATCATCAGCTGCAGGTGAGCCATACCGCCTGCAGCCAAACAATGATGAACACGCTTGCAGGCAAGCAGAAAACACTCATCATGACGAAAACATGTGCACATCCACAACAGTGTTTTGACAATCCGCTCATGCACATCGGGACTGTCCTTTTTCTGTTTTTATGGTGCATGTGGTGTATTTGATGAGTCGTTTTCATAATTAGGGACACTTGGGCTGTTGAGATTCTTAACAGCACTTTCCAGCAGCATCTTTTCCTCCTGAGGATATTTTTCTTCTTGCTTGAATGAGAGCATTTTTAGCTAAAAGGAGCCCCTGAATAAATGTGTGAAATGTCTTTTAAATCTAAAATGTTTTTTTTAACAGCAGGAATAGAGTAAAGAAAATGAAGCGATTATACACAGATACCATCTGATGGAGTTAATTCAGAGCTGTGCATTGCTGCATTTTAGAGTTCTATGTCCCATTAGTTACACTGTGAAAAGTTACACTGGGAAGGCTATACTGAGAGCTCTGTTTATCTAGACCCACATTTCTCCTCGTCGTTCTGCACCTCCACCTTACACAGTTGTGAAGAGCACTTGTCTTCAGACTACTGATGTTTCTGATGACAGCTGACATTTCTACAAATAGCCTGTGAAGTGGTGAGAACATTCACAGCCCTGTCCTACACTGCTTTGCTTTCTACATCATGCATGTCTGGAGTGGAATGGGGGGGGGGGGGCTACACTGATACAGATATTTTACCACACACTGTTCGTCCTGGAAACCTAATCCATGAAGTGCATATGTTAACTTTTTGTTACTACATATTGAATCATATCTAGTGAGTGCAGCATTACCTTTTTATGGAGGTGGTAACCCTCAGAAGATGTCTGTCTCCTTTGAAATATGATATTTGCTTTTAACTGTAATGATATGGAAGTGTATTTCTTCTTTGATGAGAGGTCATGTTGACCTGAGAGGAGACATATTGTCTTTGTTTTACAAGTTACCGAAGTTTTATTAAATGTCTGTTGCTATTTAGCACATAATCATGGTCCGGAGAAGCATACAGTCAGTAGTCTTAGAGCTCAGGCTCCAATATGAAAAATACCGAAAACAAGTTTTCATCTTAAACATGATTTTTCAGCGAACCTTTAGTTGAAAAACTGCTGCCTTAACCAATAGGGGTAAGCTAGAAGGTTTCACTGTACTGAACTTTTTGTGATTTACCATTCTGACCTGTAGTTCCCCTTAATTATGCAAAGCGCTGGAATCATGGCTATCTGTGGTTCCAGCACAGCATGGCAGCATGTAGTTCATAAAGCACATAATGATGTCTGTTTTAAATGATGACATAACTGAACCCACAGGAAGCCAGACTTATTACAGCTCAGCCTAATATAACAAAGGCTCGGTGGAGGGGGGAGAGCAGACACAATGAAAAATATAGCAAAAGGCAGAAAAAAAGGGAGGATGGGTGGTTTAATATTTCAACTTTGGCCTTCTTAGACTGCAAAATATATCCACACAAAAATCATTAAACATGTTTTACTCAGTCGATTTCAACCTCTTTTTTAGGAAACCTGGATTCATGGACCAGCCTAGTAGGTCAAAAATGCAAAAAGATTTCAAATCTATGCAAACTCAGTTGTAATCATAAGATGACATCAACATACAAGAGTTTAGGTTTAGAGATAGGTTTATGTGGAGTTAACAAAGCTGGCCAAAGTGAAACTGAGATAAAGAAAAGATTAGTTAAAAGGGTTAAAGTAACAGATATTAAATCCTAACTGTTGAACTATTCTCAAAAATCGGTCATCTATATAATTTTAAACTGACCTTCGCTATTTTGATTTTATTTTGCACCCTCGGCACCCTCTCATACTTCATTACGAATAGCCACTGACGTTTCTTCTTATACACACACATGCACCCTCACAGTGTTAATTTGACTTGCCAGGAAGGAAATCGTGTGATTCGCTTGAGTAGGTCCCTGGACATGAATCTAAAGACAGTAGGGAGCGTGTGGAGCAATCAAGTGATAAAGCTTATTATCTGAGAGGAGCTATATTCTAGGACTTATTATCTACAAGGAGTTAAATGACTTTGAGGTCCTCAAAGGCCTGATGGCCTGGTTTGACTCTGCAGGGGAGAAAAAGAAGAGGTGGTTGAAAGAGGAGAGAAAAATCAAATCTGAGGGAAGAGGGAGTGGAGCTGAGAAGATGGGAGGGCATAAAGATGAAGAGAGGAGAAGTTTGAAGACAGGATGGAGATAGAAGATGATTCATACATGTGGGCAGCCGGTGCTCTGGCTTTCTGCAATTGCTGTGAAACCAATATTCTGTTGAGGGCTGGCAAAAAAAAAGACAAAACTGTACTTCATAAAGCTGCAAGAGGCTAGTTTACTACTGCGACTGTATATAGTTTATTACCTTGGATACCACAGGTGTTGGCATAGCAACAATAGATTTTGAGTATCTGTGCTTACAAGAGCATGGTTGGACTGTTACTTTACCAAAGGATGGGCTATATCTTGATGTAATGCGTTGTTGAAAAAACTGTTCAATGTAGTGGTAAACTGAAAGAATCAATTATCTGTTCTTGGTCAAATTATAGCAAAACGTGTAAAAAGCAAAACAACCTAATAATTGTTTTTGTTTTTTTTCACATAAGTCGTTTCACTGTATTAAGAATTATTATCTAGCGTGCATCTACAATTGGGCAAAATGTACATGTGCGATCCACAGAGGTCCTGCCCTGAGGACCCACTGCATGGGCGATCAGTGTTCTGGTGCCAGAACACAGATTCCCTGGGTTTTGTGACATGACATAATAGGTAGGCATTTTTGGTGTTGTGGGCCGATGGGTGTGTGCCACAGTCACAGTCTAGACAGTTGACCCATTATGTTGTTAGGAAATAAGGAAAATGTGTCATTCTGAACAATCAAAATTGTTTTGTTTTTATACAGTGGAATCAAAATGATGTGGCAAAATACAAATATTGAATTTCCGAGGGCTGTATTCCACATAGTATTTACACCACAGAGTTTCTATGCACGACCTAAATGAATCATTGCACGTTTCTGTTAAACTAAATAATGTACATTGATCAAAGAGTCTACACATAGTTCTAAGCACCACTCAGAATAGTTTTTCTGCTCTTTAATTTCCTGACCCTCCCTAATGCCCTCTTATGGCATCGTCAGATTGCAGTATTTAACCATCTGGGCAGCTTAAAGATTTCAAACAAGCATGCTGTGAATTACTGTTAGCCCAGATCCTGTTCAAACAGACAGAGTTGACAAAGCAAATGCAAATGCTCTGTAAATTAACTAAGCACTCCTCTGACTCAAAAAATAAACTCACCATATTAGCATTAATTGCATTAAAAGCTACTTAAACACAAGAGGCAAACAGTATTAAACCCCACTGGCTGCAGCATGTGCTGAGAGGAGTATAGATTCTCTATGGGTGAAAGTTGGCTCATCTCTTCTGACAAAAAATAAAATAAAAAATCCACAAAACTGCAATCAAGTGCCTGGATTGGTTAAGATTATTCTTTATTATGAAGTGCCACAAAATGCTTTGTGTTCATTGTGCTTACATTGTCTGAATACTGGCTCAAAAAAAAAAATAACAAAAGAAAGAAAAACAAACCCAGGGGATCCTCACTCTGCAACAGAGATCCAAAACCTCCCGAGATAAGGTGTGTCAGATATCGCTATACAGCAGTAAAAATGTCTCAATCCAAAGGATTCCTTACAAACCCTCTTGCAATAAATGATTATTTAGGTTAACGTCATAATTCAACTTGGAAGTACAAAAAAAGAAGAGAGGTCAAGCTAGTACAAGGTTTTTAATTCTTCTCTACCTGAATTCTAGTTAGTTTCATTGTGCTACTATCTTTAAAGGTGGAGATGACTACGATGGAAGTGCTTGAAGAGGCCAGACCCGGAGCTCACCCAGACACAGACGCAGGCAAACAGACTCACAATTTATCCCATCCTGCTGTATAACCTCTAAATAGCCACACGTCAGCCAGAGACGATTTGACTGAGTGCTAAAGTTCAACTGGATGTTTTGGTGCACAGTGACAACTTGTGAGAAGTGGCTGACAATTAAGGGCTGCAAGAGACGCTCTCAGGGATTTGTTTATCGCATCACACTGTACTCAGTCCCAGCGGCAGAGCTTAGCTTTAACAACCCTTATAGTTGATTCAGTTGTGACATTTCAATTAATTTCAACTTAGATTTTTCTTCTCTGTGCAGACAATGTATACCTTACAGGGTTTTTTTTTTCACCTACTTTGCATTAGGAGCTGCATTGGCTGATCAAATCTGAAAAAGAAAATTGATCCAAGTGCTAACAAGTTGGAGCTCTATGACTTATCGTTTGATGCAGTTCAAATAATTGCAGCTCAAATGTAGGTCATACATTGGTGGCGATGAGAGGGCCCTCTGTTTGCTGACTCACATCCTGTCTGCTACAGTCATAACAAGAAATGTTTACCTCGAGTTGAACAGCGAGCAAAAAAAAATTGTTTGTTTTTAAAAAACAAATCTTGTCGTCACATAAAATACTGTATCATCTGTATTCTGATAAGACTTCAGTTGACTTCAGCATGTCGTCACAAGACATGGCACAGGCCTCGAAAAGATTCTGTGATCCCAAACAGCTGAACTGCAGGCACTGTGTGCTTGCATGCACCCATGCACTTGTGCACACGTACTAATTGAATGTTTCTGTACAGTCTCACAACATGGAAAAACAGTTTTGCATTGCAGACTAACATAAAAAACAACACTTGATATTTTGCGAATATCTGTGCGTGTCCTCAGTCTGTCTCTTGGGAAGCTCCATGAATCTGTAGAAAAGGTTTCTGAGCTGCAGAGAACTGGGTTCAGCAACACTGGTGTTGACCACCTAAATTACGAGATAAATTATTTGACGGGGTCAGAGTTGATTAGAGTTAGCCTGTCTGTAGGAATAACACTCATAGAGTAAGCCCATGGTCGGCCCAGTGGGGATGTACGGGGCCTACTGCAGAATAATCAGGACTCGGTCTCATGCGGCTACTGTATGAGACTGTAACAGCTGAACTGTAATCAGACCATCCAGGCAAAGTGCATGCTACTTCTGTGGTTTAAGAATGCACGGTTTATGGCGAGGAAGTGCTCTGGAGGGGTGTCTGAATAATGCATTGCAGTCAAAGTTGACCTCAGTCCAACTTCAGCAATGCACCAATCTTGATCTCAGTTTTCTAATGAAAGTAGTTATAGTTATAGTTATATGTTACCTGTGATTGTGAGTTTGTGTGAATGTCTCTGTAAAATTCAACTAGATCAGCAGTTTAACCAAATTGTGTATTTATTGTGTTTCAAGGCAAAGACAAGTGAGATGTCTTGCAAATGATGAATATCTGATGTTTTTTGACTGCTTGACAATAAGTTTTCAATATGCTGAAGGGTCAATTCGGCCTTCCATAATTTTGCCAGTGTCCAATCTGAGAAGCTTACAAATGAAGCGTCCTCTGGTTGCTGTTTGCAGGCATGTTTAACATGAGGTGTAGCTTAGCACGGGCCGGTGAGGATTGCGCACTAGTTATCCTACAATAGGCCTCACACCCAGCAGGCAGCTGATCCCAGCCTCTCTAGCCTACATCCTACATTAGTTCTACTCACTAAGAGGCAGGCAGTGCATAACAAGAGAGGAAAGACAGGGCTTTTCTTTTTGTTACTCTAACACTATATTGGCATGTTCCCTGATGTCTGTAATATTAGTATTTTTTCAGTTTATGACTATAGGTGAAGTAAAACATACCTGATTTTTAAACTGCTATACAGTAGTAGGTAATACTTCATAACTTCATCATAAAATACCATGCAGTAGGTGATTATTGCTTTTAAAGAGTCCTATGGAGGCTCCAAGAGAAAAATATTGCCCTCGGGTTCTATCTATAGGAATTTGGCAAAAATCATAAGCTTTTTATGATGTTGGCATAGGTTTTCATTATTATTATCATTATTGTTTTTTGCATGCAATAACGTTAACAAGAAAAAAAAAGGAAAACAACTTAAAAAGGGATAAAGAATAGTACTTAAAAAAGTGACATATGCTTTGGCCTGTAGTGGTAAAAAAAAAGCTTGGCAAACATCCTGCATACACATACAAAAATTAAAGTGCAAAAGAATAGTATCGCCTCATCAAATCAAGTACAAAGGTACAATAAATAAAAAAGTTAAATAATCAAATAAATAAATAAATACATTAATCAATTAATTCATTAATTAATAAAGAGTATTTTTTACCTCAGTAGTGGAGAGAATATGGTCACTTGGTGCAGCAGAGCATTATTATCATCATCATTATTACTATTTTTATTACTATTATTCCCCCAAAAATGCAAAATCAGAATGAAAATCTTACTGCGTTCCAATGCAGTGAGAAAACTAGTAACTATAGGTTCACTATTGTCTTTGTCATCATTTTCATTATAATCATCGTCATTGTCCCAAAATATATACTGTCATACTATATCTAGATGCCAGGAGGAAGCAGTGTTAGTATTAATGTCTCTATCCTGAACAGAGGAAGAGGAGGTGTAGAGTTTTTGAGGAAGTGCATGCGTCGATCAGTTAAATCCTTAAGTGGGCAAATCTCAAGGAGAAAAATTGTGCTATCTTCATCATATTTGTCGTCATGATCAGGCTCCAGGGGAGGCAAAGTGGAGAGGAGCTGGAGAGGGGGAGTGAAGAAGGGAAAGGAGGGAAAGCAAGGTCATATTCTGACCAAAAATATACCGTCTGCAGTTCAGTCTTTAAGGATAATGGTAATTCATGTCTGCAGTTCTGTCTGTTGTTTGATCTATTTTAGGTTGTCATGCATCTAAGGGGCCGTGGGGAGAGAAGGGGCCTTTGAAACAGGCAGACTCGTAGTGCTTGTTCAGATAACTCTTGAGCGCGAAGGTCTTGTTGCAGCGTTTGCACTTAAAGTGTTTGAAGGCCGAGTGGGTCTGCATGTGAGCCCGCAGGTTGGAGCGGTCTGCGAAGGCCTTCCCGCAGTGGGCGCACCCGAACGGTTTCTCCCCGGTGTGAGAGCGCATGTGGCCCTGTAGCAGCCACGGTCGGCTGAACGCTTTCCCGCACACGTCGCACTTGTGCTTGAGGTCGTGGGTGAGCAGGTGCATGGCCATGGCGGGCATGGACACGTACACCTTCCCGCAGGTGGGGCATTTCTTTGCCAGCTTGCTGTCCAGCGAGCGGTGTGTCTGTTTGTGCCGGCTCAGGTTGGAAGACGTCGCGTAGGTTTTGCCGCACTCGTTGCAGGTGTGCCTCTGGATGCTCCTGGGGCTGCCCAGGACTTTTCTTCTCGAGCGGCCGTCGGTGATGAAGAAGGCATCGACCGTGTAACCCTCGCTCACGGCAGCGTCTCCGTTAATGTAGCCGTCTGTGATTTCTGAGCCGGGGCTATCGGGAGACTCAGAGTCAGGAGCCCCGTAGTCGCTGTGGATCCCGTCATAGAGGGGATCAGGGGAGGGTACCTTGATGCCACCGTCACTCTCACCATCGTACACGACAGGGCTGATGTAGTCACTGATGTAACCAGCTGATGTGGGAGAAAGAAAGCAGTGTTAGGTGACAGAAGAGTGTGCTGGAAGTAATAGTAGTGTTAGGTGCTGAATTAACCTGGCCTCAGAATGACAGAGGAGCAAAATTGGACTAGAATATAATTAATGCAACTCTTTTATGACTTAAAAAGAACAGGTTTAAACTTTCCTGTGACAACATGCAGAATGCCCAAATTTGCTGACACCACTCAGAGAACAGTTCTTACAGTTCAAATATCAATAAGACATACATTCATGGCTGAACTTGTTCCATAGAGAGCAGGAAGTGAGAAACACACAAGTAAGCCTGGATTAACATCATTAAACCCCTGTAGGCAATAAGACTTGAGGAACTGGCTTTTTTTTCAAGCTTATCTTTCTTAACAGACACTGCATTGACCGGCATTAGGTAATCTCAACTTTCATAATTAAATAAACACCAAGCAACTGTAAATCTGTCAGATCTGTCAGCTTCATTTCTCCCTTGATGAGCATTAATATAAATGCATATCGCTTTTGATACAAGCAGATTCGAGGTGTCATTCCATGGTGTCCATGTATTTAAAGAAAATGTTCAGGCTGTAGTGGGCTCTGTGATTATATATAGTTATTTCACTTTTGTATAAAAATCATAATCCTCTTTTGAAGAATTTAACAATGCTCTAATCTCCAACTTAGTCCTAATGCCTAAGCATAAATTTAAACAACCGTCTACTTTTCAGGAATGAAAGCACAGCCAAGACACTGACAGCTGCAGTCCTTCAGTAACTGTCCTGCGGAAATACTGCACCGTGTCCAAGTCATCTACCCTGCACTTACCCTGCAGATGTAGAAGCGAGAAACCACAATCACTAAAACAGCAGGTACTTTTCACTAGATTTAAACATCTGCTCATATCTAAACTGGATTTTCATAAGAATAAACATGTCTCTCTCCTTCCGTGTACCTTTGGCCAGCAGTGGTATCTTTAAAAAAAAAAAAAAGGTTGAACTGTGTCAGTCCAGAGATAATCAGCAATATATTTCCACTCAGCTGGAAATACCTGCAGTTAAAACACTTCCCCTTTAGAAGATAGATGCACACAGGCTGACCCTGAACTTGGAAAAAGCTGATTTAGTGTGAGAAAAGGAGCATCAGCACCATGGACAGATCCAGTGCAGAGCAGGTCGATGGCACAGTGACAGCAAACCTGCTGGACAGGCTCATTCAGTCCTGTGTAGGGTTTTTTTCTTTTTTTCCTTTGGCTACCTGCTGGATTCATTTGAATACAATGGCCAAAAGCAATACTGTATTGAGTCACAAACAGCTTTGAAAATGCTATCGCTCACTCTTGATATGAGCTAATTTGAAGTGTTATTCAAGGATGTTCGCATGAGGTCTGAAGTAGAGAAGCACACACTGTAATGTAAATAGAGGTCACGTATGAGTACCATGTTTCCTCCACATAGCGTGAACATGTTTTACGAGTGTGGCTCTACAAGTGTGTCAGTATGCACGTGGTGCACGTTTTTTCTCACTCGTTCATTTAACCATACAGCATACTGACAGACTAGACGATGCAAGCAAACACACTGGATGAGGCAAGTGGCTTAACTGCGTTTAGTGAAGTGAATAAACACAACTGATGGGTTTACAGCCTGACCTGAACTGCTTCTTAGGACCGGGGTCTATGATCATACTGTCTGGCACATATTACATGTTTAGCTGTATATCTCATGTATAATTTATACCTACTCCAAAAATGTCTTCACATAATTTATTCCTCTCAACCTTTATTTCAACTTCTAAAATAAAGATTATGATACCACATATGGCAGACTGGGTTGGCTTAGGATTTGTCCTTAAAAAGCCCTTAAAACAATTCAATTTAAAGGCTTCTTTTAAGAGTATTGATTCCTTCCATGTCTTAGTAGATTTGTAAAAGTACAATAGCAGCAAGCCTTGTGTAGCACACACATCTGTCCATATATGATAACACTCATTTATAACTACTTCCCAGTCCCATGTGAATAAACAGTCCTGTCACACAGGGATGCGAAAAATATTATTCTCAAAGCACCGTTCGTTCAGGCATAGAGTTGTGGGTTGAGTCTGGGCTGTGCTGCATTAAGCTGTTAACATCAAATGTTAAGGATGGAGACAAAAGGTGGCCGGGACAGGCTGCGCTCACAGTGCTGCTGAGGCGGCAGATCGCGTGTCAGACCTGGCAGCACTTGTTAACCTCGACATTATAAACATAATACTGACAGCTTTTCCCCTCCTAACACGCAGGGGATAGTGGGGATTCAATTTTTTTGTGTTGCAACCTGTCAGTGGCACCCAGGCAGAAGCAAAGCAGTGGTCTACATGTTAGATGTGACGCACACAGTTATGGGCTGTGACTCAGTTGGCAGCATGGGACAAAATACTCAATATGCCCAGAAAATATCAAAAGCCATACTTATCAAACCTTAAATTAAATCGAATATTGAAAGTAATCATCTATACTCAACAGTTGTACATAACCAGGCCAACACAATCCTCTGCAACATATGTTACTTAAAGTCAATAGTTCATTTGTTGCCATAAAGCCAGAAAAGTAGTCCTTCAAAATCCTGTATTACTTTCTGGTGACATTGCAAGGTCGAGGCAGAAATTGCGGTTGTACAAAGACTATGATGCTCATTTAAGCAATTCTCCTGCAGAAATGTGCCAACAGTGCAAAAATGGGCAGGAGCACCAGGACAGGGTGCCTAAAGAATAAAGTGCGCTGTGTGCTAGTAACGATAAGGACAACTTGATATAAAACCACTTGTTGGTTTGATAATAAAGTGGTATTTCAGACCAAAACATAAGCACTCAGTGGTTTTTGTATTTGTGCTCCACATTTTATAACAAATGAACATGTCAGAGACATATCATTCAGCTTTAAACCCATTTCATCAATGATTGATTTAACCATTAAACCTTTAAACGGAACAAAAGAAAGTGGGCAAGATGTTGAAAATAGAAGCCAAGCCTTTATCTCTCGTAGCATTGCTTATTATCCTGCCTATAAAGGAACGTCCCTGCTGACTGTGAGCCAGAATCGATTAAACATGTTAGACACTTTGATATGGTTGATTTCACAGGTGACCTTTCTTCTTCTTCCAACATTCTTGGATTAAATCCTCTCTTGCCGTAGCACCCACAGAGAAATAACTTTTATATTATGTTGTGGAGTGACCTCCACAGTGAGAAGAGTATATAGGTTGTTAGTGTCTCGCTGACTGATTCACTGATCTATTTCAGTCCTCTGGAGTGTACATTACTCTAAAAGTATATAGCCTAAATTGCCTTCAGCCTGCCATACTTTGATATCTTCCCATGCACTGATTAGAGCCCTGAGGCTTTGAAGCTTCCAGAAAATCACCATGTGATATATCTACAATTGTTTAACAGTAATTGATTACTTTGCCTGCTCGAGCATGCTGCAAAAAGTTTCCAGTGCCAGACTGCCAGAAAGTGTGATTGAATTTTAAAAAACTTACAAAAGACTTCTAAAAATGGAAAACGGCATATAATCTAAAGAATCTCTTTAAAAGTGCACCCCTTTGTATCAAACGTGCAGATTTCCGAAACTGCCTCCCCCTGCCGACTCCCGCTTGCTCTCTGAGATGCATTTGTTTGGGAGACACCTGTTAGTTGTCTCTGTGTGTCGGCAGCCTGACCTACCTTTGTCGTGCAGCCGCAGGCTGAGGTCTGTCCTGTGCCGGTAGGCGTTCTCTAGATCCGCCCCGGTGGAGAAATCATCCAGTTTAACCTTTTTCACCAGGAAGGACCTTGGCATGATGGTGAGGCACCGACACACACACCCTCGCTAAACACAACTACGCGCGCTCTCGCAAACGCAGCGACACACACTCGCAGTCGCGGCCGGTCACCGACGGCCTGGCCAGCGTGCTGATCCGTCCGTAACACACCGACTGACCAGGGGGGATGGAAAGGGGGGGAAGGGGGGGTCGGGGGGGGGACAGTGCCAACTGTGAGTTGATCCAGTGAAAGAGTTGAGCGGCTGTAATTTGTTCTCTCTCCTCTGCTGGAGTCTCTGCGCCTGTCCTCTGCCTGCCCGGTTTTAGTCCTCGTGCAGAGAAAAAGGAAGGAAATGCAACTTCAGCACCGGACAGCTCCCTCTGAGGGGGGTGGGGAGGGGAGGGGAGGGGACGGGGGGTGGGGGGGGGTACCTCGTGCTCTCTGCGCTCGCGGACAGGCGCAAAAACCAGGAGACAGGGCTCTCAGCAGTCAAAATATAAAGAAAAAGAAAAGAAATCAAACAAAAGCAAAGGCGGTGGAAGACACCCCGCAGCGCGCTCAGGCCTCTTTAAAGAACAAGAGATGGAGGGGGAAGATGAGGAGGAGGGAGGGATGCGAAGATTATAAGAGGTAGAAAAATCGAAGGGTGTTTTGAAAGCTTCTTTTTTTATATAAAAAATGTCGGACACTCACTGTCCTGCCACCAAAGGAGTCCTTAATTCCCGTTAATGACGATTACTCAGGCCGGTAGAAAATCACAAAAAAAAGACTCCGCGCGTATGGTTGGATCAACAGCATCCCCTCTTTCTCTCTCTGTATCCCTCTCTCTTCTCTCTTCCCCTCGTCTCTCTCTATCCGCAGCTTCCGCGAGCTGTTCCCGTGAGTGTGCTGTCTCGCGATCAGCTGTTGGCATTTATACGGCGCAGTGTGCGCGCGCCAGAGAGAGAGAGTGAGGATGGAGAGATGGATAGACACACGGTTGGAGGGAGTGCTTAATTTAATCCATCCCGCATCCCCAGAGAGCGGCGACTGGTCCGGATGATTTATTGAAGCTGTTATCACCCCCTCTTTCTCCTTCTTTCTCTGTCTTTCATTCTTGTTCTCCCTCTTTTCCCCCTTTCTCTTCATTTGGAGTGTGTGTGTGTGTTTCTCAGTGTGTGAGGCGAGACGCCATGTTTCGGAGAGATAAGAATGGAAATTGTTATGTACTTCTTTCAAGCACTCATCGATTTTATTCAGCGTGAAATATGCATTTTTAATATTGTCCCATTGTTCACTATTTTGGGAGACCCATATTATCTACTTCTTTTTGCATCCCCTCCCTTCTTGCCAAGCAATCCTGCCTTTGTTTTTCCTACGATCGCGTGGATTTTAAAGGAGAATATTAACTAGTGTGCCAAGAGCCTAGTAATTATCATTAATGTTGCCCTGAAGGGAAAGGGTGTAGACCAAATGGAGTGTTTTACAGTGAGTTAGCGGATTAATATGAAGGTTGAGTAAGGGTCACACAGGGTTCACTGACAAGTTTTGCTGCAAGATGTCAGTGTTAAAAAGCACAGTCATTTGCTATTATTATATTTATGTTCAAATATAAAACAAATACATATGTAGAAGTTAGAAAAAGAAGCCCAACATGTTTGTAAGTCATACGCCATCTGGTTAAGTTGAGGAAAATACTTTGAAAACTGACAATTGTTCAGACCAGAACCATCAAACTGAGGTTTATTGAAGAAAAACATGCGGTCTCTGTTTAATGGAGCAGGAGAAACGCTGAATTGAGTTTGTGGGTAGCTGGAAAGTTGCCGCACATCTGTAGAAGGTCAAAAGACGTTCAGATCCAAAGATAAACCACTTAAAGATAAAACATGTCCTGAAATCGGGGAGATTGTCCCATCAACTCAGAGTCTCAAACAGTTGTTAAAGCCTGAGACCTTAACACTAGTAATTCCAAATCTATTAGTATTGATATCTGTTTCTCTGAATAAAGCAAGTATGGAAATCACCTTATTTTACAGAATCATTTACTTATTTATCACTATGTTAAAAACAGCATTCAAAGAAATTCTGAAAAAGCGGCCAAGACCAATCCTGTGGTCATTACTGTGTTGAAACCTCTCGGGCGCGTGGGGCTGTTGGTGAGCACTTCCTGTGGCAGCTTCACGGTGAGAGAGAGAGTTTGTCCTTCAAATGAAGGTCAGCGGTTTGGTCCCCAGTGCATCTACGTGTGGAAGTGTCCTTGGGCAAGACACTGAACCTCACATCACGCCTAATATGTTCATCTAAGTGTGACAACAGAGCAAAGAAAGTGCTGCACACTGTATGCATGATATACAGCGCTGTATCCTAAATCACCAGAAACGCGCGCAAGGTCGAAAAAAAAGGTGTTGAACAATTTACCATTTCCGATCCTTTCATATATTATTCTAGGATTTTTTAACATTTCTCCGGCAAAATCTCAAAGTTCCACAAGATCCTTGTATTCACTGCTCCTTTACGTTTGCCCACAGATTTTCGATAAAAAGAAAGCCTCCAAACTGAACCAGCTGAAGTCATGTGAAGTGGATTTTGATGCATCTTGGGATCATTACCTATTTGAAGATGCAGTGTATTTTTATTTTCTTTGGATGGTATACAAAGAAACCCATTCCCTTCTTCTCCATCTTCTCTTCTAAATGCATCTTGTACCATGACCAACAACACAAGCCCAAATCGTGACACATCCACTACGTGCAGAACAGTCTTTTTTGGATTCAACATTAATATTTTTCTCAGATGTGTTTTGCAAATTGTGGTGAAAATGCTTTATTTTGATTCATCACCCCACAGTCTATTTGTGTGTTGTTTATTTTGTTGGTATTACAGTGCAGTTCATTAAAGTACAGCTCATCCAGAGTTATCTGAAATGTCCCAAAATACTTTTTCAGACTTAAAAAAGGCTTTGATTTTCCTTTCCAAATATCCCACAAGTCACTTTCCAACGGTTTCTGAAGACCTATCTGACCTCCACCATTCAAATCAGGTGAAATTTTCTGGCCCTGAATTTAAAGAAATTAACAGCAATGTAAAATCTTGTCCTGAAGTCTTGTCTTGGGTTTATTTGCAGATCTCCTAATTTGCAAAGTGCAGAGTAGTGTTTTAAATAAACAGCCAATTCTTTTGGGGTAAAGTCTGGAGAATATTTGCAAATCCTGAAAATTGACACGTGTGTCCTTCTTTTCAGATGACTTTGTACCAACTGTCTTCTTAACAAGCTGAATAAGCTCTCAAGCTTTGGTAAAAGTAAGCCCAAGTCCCCTGGCTCACCCAAATGTTTATGTAATGGAACTTTGAAACTTTTTCTCTGAAATTGTTGCTAAAATTTTAATTCACTGTCACAAATAAGTTTGACTTTTTTACTTTAAATCTGGCAGCCCAGAGCAAATATTTACTCACTACTTTTAAAAAATAAATACTATGATATTTTCTTCTAAGTTACAAAGGCATTGAAGTATTTTTCTTTTTTACTTCATATTTACCTTTCATCTCTATCAGCCCTAAAAAGGAACATATTGTAAATATCAGAATTTTTCTCAGGTTTGCAAATCTGCTTTTAGTACCAAATACGACATCTTGTATTTCAGGAAATATACATTTTTTCTCCTTTTTCAAGTGTTTTCTCGCATTACTTCTCCGTAAGACTTTGTCTAATCTTCAGCCTTGCTGGCGAAGTAAATTAGCTCATAATCTCTGTCAGTCAGGCAGATGGAGAAGGACAGTAGAGATGTCAAGTTAAAGAGGCAGAATGAGGACTATTTGGGGAATGAGGGCTATGCTCATGAGTTTGTTTTCATAGCTGACAGTGATGATGAGAAAGGTGGTAATGATGAAGCTGAGCTAAGTGAAGCATTTGAGTCATGCAAGCCTGATGCATGGATATCTGCGGGCCAGAGGAGTCATGTGTACAGAAATAAGTCTGTTAAAGTTAACCGGGCTTCACTATGACTAATAAGCTACTTGTGTGTGACTGTTTGTGTGCATGTGGGTCTTTGTGTGCATTTTCTATTGATTACAGGCCACTTGATGAGTTCAATATGTGTGTGTGTGTTCAACGTTTGGGATAATACATCATGACTATGAAAGCATTTTTGGCCGTCTGTGTGTCAGTGTGTGTACTGCTACCAGTCCATCTGTTGTTCTTAATCAGGGGAAGAGCAGATGAGTTCCGTCACCTGGAGACTAGCTCAGGGAGGTCCAATTAAGCACACACATGCGCAAAACTGGCTCAACACACAATAAGAAACCGCCCCGACGAAAACCGCCAGTCGACTGAAATAACCTCTGACATGAACAACATATTTCATCATCATTAGGCGTTGTGGGTACACACTCAAAGACTAACGGACCTGTGAATAAGCCACACACAGGGTGCCTGAAGACAGGTGTCTGTACACAGGCCGCGTGTACTCATAAATGTTTATATGAGGCATTCCAAAGCACCGACCTACAACATATTTTACACATACCATCACGCGCTATCATTTTGAATATTGACACTTTTCAAATGACTTTGAATGCATATTTAAAGCCGTCAAATGACAACAGGTCTCTCAAAGGTTCTGAATAAGACAGTGGATGTGAGAGTACTGTCTAAAGATAAAAGTGACAGTATTGCACAGTAGCACACAGGTGTGAATTGCATCCAAAAGGGGAAAGTGCTATGCGCTCTGTCACTGGTGTCATTCTCACACTTCACTAACAGCACCACACTTTATTTCGGGGTGGAAAGAAAGCTGCTTTTTTTTTCTTTCTTTTTTTAAATTCCCGTTTAGCCACAGATCCCTTTTTTCTTTGACATAAACTTTTACCTGTTGAGGCTAAGGTAGTCGGGTTACTGCTATAAGCAGTCATACGTCATTTCTTCGGCCTTCTCAGTTGGCATACTTTACCACTGCTTTTAGTATTGCAATTAGATTGTGTCATCGGGGTGTAGATGTAGAGCAGTCGCCAACAGATCGGTATTCATTCAGTTTTTGTCCCGACTTGCGTGGACAAGACCCCCACACTCCACAGGTGAATGGCTGAATGCGGCATGTCGCGTTTCAAGTGGTCAATTGGACAGCTTGAAAAGCATTATATAAGTGCCGTCCATTTATCCTAGCTTTCCTTACTTGTTTCTCCTGGCTCCTCTCCAGGGTCACCTGTTGTTAATCATTCACAGCTGCACACACTTTTCTTACCCACTCAGTCTGCATGTGAGCTGCCTGGTTTTGTTCAACACTTGTCAAAGCCTTGTGGTTACTTTTGCATCTGCATTGCTCTTTTCAGGTTCCTCTCTGTTGCTCTTACTCCCTAATGGTGGCTCTTGGTTTACCGGTTAGGCCACAACCCTTTTTGGTTTAGTTTTTTTAGTAAATAAATGT